CGATTTTAATGACATTTTTATTTTGTGTTACAAATGGTGATTATATTCCTAGAACGTATTGGTAGTCATCGACAAAATTTGTATAATATTTATTGGTGTGCTTTACGCCCGGTAGACGGCGCTATACAATCTGATACGTTACGAACTTTCTCTCAAATATTGATAAACTCTCGAAACAGTTTTAGACAATCGATTTTCATATCTATAACTTTTCAGGAATTTTAGCAGTTTTGAAGGTAAATTTTGAACATTGTTAAAGTTTACATTAACAAGCCTACATTCCAAATGTATGCCCGCCAAAACTTACACTTTGCGATATACCATGACGCTATTGTTCAAAGTGGCTCGGTTCAAGGGCAAACGACGAGCGGTGCCGGGGAATGTAGCCTAGCTTCCGCCACTGCCGAAGGCTCTTATTGCGAGCGGAATAATCATTATGCCGACTTGAAAAGATCAGCTCAGTTAGATGACGCGCACTAAGTCGATTGTGATTCTCGGAATGTTGGAGTGAATGGGAATACATTGCGTGGGTTTATAAAAGGTTTTTGCTATTCACGAGGCGATTAAGCGTATGTTAAGTATGAATAACAATTCAATGGAATACATTTACTTATTGAAATAGTGTAGGTGAGTTCTGAACATTGCAATACGCACGGTATCGATTTTCAATAATGCATCCTTAATTAATACGTTATACGACATCTAGTGTTATGACGGGGTTACACAATCCAGTTAAATGTCACAGTTGCAAGCTAGTTCATGAGTTCCTACGAGATAAAGACCCGTCAGTGTCAAGCTGAGTAGCCTCCACTCGTCCAGTTCCTCAACTTGTATGCCTTTGCACTATCAAATATAGCTACTTGCTAGCTTGCATGCACATGTGTTAACAGACATCTGTCACCGCCCTAATGAAGGTTGAGTAATCATTGACTCATCAGACTATTGTGAAATAGTTTCCACTATGTGGTGCAATAAAATCACAATAATTCAAAAAACAACACTCCCAGTAGCATTGTAATAAAATAATAAAATGAGACAAAATTTAACATTCCGCAAAAACAAAAATTCCGCTGATTACGCCGCGCCTGCGGCTGACAAAATAGCAGCGGATAAAAAAAGAAATCTCCTAAAACGTCATTACAGTGCCGGGCCGGGGACCGGGGGCCGGTGTCCCCGAGATATATCTGCCATAGAGAATACTTTAAGCGGAAACCCCACACGCATCAAGACTCCCAACAATAGGGTATCTCGCAATCGCGAGTAATAAAGGCTGCGAGCGCCCACATTAAAATCTTATCCCTTTCTTAAATAAAAAATTCACGAAAAAATAAGAGAGGAAATCTCCCCTATATTATTCAGTGGAAAGCGCTCCCCTTCCCAGGCACGCGGCTACAGTCCAAATCCGGATAGCGCCCGCGAAGAAAGCTCAAAGAAATTCTAACTTTACCTTCTACTGTACAAAGTTACAATTGGTGTGCGCGTGTTTCGATATTAAGAATGTGAAATAGCCTATATTGTGATAAGGGTAGGGTTCATTTTAGCGCATATCGTACGAGATCGGTGTTATAGGAAACGGGGCTTAGCCGTTAGTATAGTATTTGAAAATGAGATGCAGCGTGGAAGGTAGGGGGAGACCCCTTCGGGCCGAGGGTAGCGGGTCGGGTAGTGGGTGGGGTAGCGGGCCTCTCGAAATTCGAATTACCGGGGCGTGTGTAATGATTTTCCCGGACGGAATTATGGCCGGTATCGGAGACGAATTGGAGACGGGAATTGAACGCTCTTTTTAAGGGTGCACTGCAACTCCCGTTGGAGATCGATGAGGACTCTACGTATTTCCTGAGCGACGCTAATTACCTCGATGGCTAAATATTGATTCTTTGATACTTGACATTTTATACTTCACGACTTTATTATTTGGTTTTTGTACAAAGCAATTTTTCGGGTAATATTCATTTGCAGACGTTTATTATTACCCATTATACTGCAAGTATGATGGGTAAGTGGAGAGTGAATTTAATTCTTTAACTACGTATAACGATTGATTTTTCAACCTTGGAATAGTTTCGAGTGTGTGGCAGTGGTAGGGGATATCTCATAGTGACTAGAACCGTGATGTCCTATCAGACCCACGATGTCACGAGGCTAGGTACATCGCCCATATCGTGGAGATAAACCGTTACACGTACGCTGGGTACACCCGACTGCGAGTATCACGAACATACGTGATAGTGATGACGCGTGATGATATGTTCACATACATCGGTGCTTTTGTATGCGCAGACTATTAGATAAAAATAAATTAAAGTTAAAAAAATTATATTAATTTCATCTAATATTATTATTTTATGAAAGTGTTTAAACATTTTCCATAATCATTTATGATATTTGGTTACAAAGTTTTTATAAAGTGTACAATCCATACTATTATTATAAAGATTTGTATTTTTGTATGTATTGAGTTAACTCAAAAACAACTGGGCCGATTTTAAAAATTCTTTTACTATTGAAAACCTACGTTATCGATAAGTAACATGGCTAAGTTTTTATTATTTTTAGTCACGCGGGCGAAGCCATGAGCAAAAGCTTGTACGAAATAATATTGACTAAAAACCACATAAAATAATAATTACAAATTTGAATACGATGTTTAAATAAAATGAACAATGTTACGAACAATCTAAGTGCGCAAAGTTCATTGACCTCTACCGGATTAGGCTGTACACATGCCGCATAAACTACTTTATAGTTGACTACAAGTTTAGATGTAATCCGCAGCACCCTTGACATCGAACCTGGCTTTGTCACTGTGCCTGTTTACTCTATTAGATACCTCTGTTACTGGGATATCTATTGTTAGAATATTGAGCAAATCTATATCGTGATATGATTTCTAAATTTAATATTAGTTTAAATACTCGTAATAGAAAAATCTCAACATAGTAGTATTATAGAAAATTGTGATTTAAAAGCTTACTACTTAGTTATGATATCGAGTCTTAATTTTTGTAGAGTGTGCGTGAATTTATTTAAAAACAAGTCAGTACTAAAAGACGTAAAATATTTTACAATAATGTACAAAAATATCAGATATTAAAAGCTAACTCGAACATAATGATTAAACATTTTCTTAGCGTTACGAGATCGCGGTCATTTTTTGAAAAGAAATAAAGCATTCGATGGCCGGGTCCCGCGGCGGAGCGAAAGCAAGCGACCCCGAAATTGCCGTCCGCATTCACCCAGACAAAAGCTCTAAAACACACCCCGCGAGCAAAAAGAAAAGCGTTTTCATCCCATCCCCTCCTTCGAATTTCCCGCCCCAGAGCGGGGGCGGCGACCGTAGGGGTGGCTCCGCACAACAGAGACCAAACTTAAAGCCGCGTAGAAAAGAATGAGACGGCCTTATCTCCACCTGTTGCTGCGAAACTTTTATTTCGCCGTAGGTTCTTTTTCGTTTCTTACTTCTTTCTAAGGATTTGAATGGCATGGTTCGTGCATGCGTAGTCGCTTGCTCCTTGTTAGGTATCGAACGGTTGTCTTGCATAGGGCGTTCGATTTTCAAACGTCAGTTTCTTTCCCGTCTACCCTATTTGCATTTGGTGGCTGACTGTACTTTTGTGAATCGTAAAATTAAATTTTATCGATGTAGTCGCTTGGAGTATTGAGGGCACTTTAATGTGTCGATACTAATAAGATACGCTATTTAATGCTTACGTCCGCGTATAAAAATATAAATTTTACAGCTCAGTAATGGCTACTAAATTTCTATGAAATATACATTCATTATGCGGACTCGATCTAAAATGGCGCCGTAAAAGATAGTGTGGCATCTTTGCCATGGAGATGAATTCGTAACGAAAACCTTGCGCTACCACGTTTCCATTTTGTGAATGTTTCCTGTTTTAAATAATAGTGAAAACTAAACTTGAAACTTATATCATTTTATAATAAACATAAAAAAAACATTTAATTTTAAAAGCCCTACAAATTTAAATAACATTTTGAATAGACTTTGGCTATCAATATCTTTACCATCATAATTTATTGATGCTCTAAAAATTTTAAATCACATTATAATTCCTTAGATTTTATAGCTTCACCACTTCGAATATTTAAAATTTGTCACCTACTTTATTACGAAAACACTCACCAATTTTAAGACACTATTTCACCATAACATTAAAATATTGGTCAAATATAAATGCGTTAGTTAAACGAGCCTTGAACGTCGATTAAATATTTTAATTAAAATTTACATATAAAATTAAATAAAGGTATGAAATGGTCATAAGACACACGATAGGATAATATATCGGCACGTATTCAGGATGAAGACAAAAATAAAAACTGTTTGGGTAACCGTTTCCGGCTGGTCCCGGGTTCGAAGACGTGCACGTGGCGCGGTTATTACTGAGAAATAATCAAATAAAAATAGCATATACGATAAAATACAATGAAAACCTTATACGTTTATGTATTTTAACGTAGACTGATTGTAAATACAGTATTGTTACTATTTATAAAATTAAATTTACTTCTAGTCTAAATATTTCAATAAAAAGTACTTTAGTACAAGAGCTAAGGTTGTTTTTAAAATAATTATATTAACTATTTTTATTTAAATGTTTTAGTAAAAAATAATGGCCGCATCTATGTGAGGATTGATGTCAGAATTGAAGTATAGAAGTCACATAATCGTCATGTTGCCCGCTCGTACATCACAGATAATTGCGATTAGATAAAAATATCTTGAGTGTGTGATATGACGAGTCAGAAATAGCTTTAAAATATGATTTATTTGCTGGGTTTAATATGACAAAAACTGCATAAACCTTTGCGTTGCTATCCTCTGCTAAAATTTGTTTTAATACATTTGATAGATTTCTTAGGTAAAAAATTCTGTTAATTCTAGAGATGGCATATAAATGCGCTGCGAAATTATTTATATATAGGATTATCACAAATATTTCCTTAACTCATCATGTAATGTAATTAAAACTTACCATAGAGACGGGTAGCGGATGAGCCGCACCATTGGGATAAGGGTACGGAGTTACGAGGTAGCCCATGTTGAAACTTGCTGCTGGATGGTGTTCGAATTTACCTGTTGAAAGTAAATAAAATAATTAATGAAAATCCACTATCAATACACTCCTGTTAAATATGTCGACATTTTATTTTCGTTTTATAATGAGCGGGATAAAAATAGTAGAATGAGGCGATTGTTTCCTAAATATGTAATGAAATAAGAGGTTTATACGAGTGTTTTATAAAATAACGAAAAAAGTATTGGAACTATTTCATTCGGCGTTACTGAAGTGTTTTGTTAACGTTTTTTACACACATGATATGTATTTGCAAATAAATTAGAAACATGCATATGTTGTAAATTACAAACATGTAGTGTTGAATTGCATTAACTTTTTAATAAAACTAGTGGTTGCCTATTGGTCGAAATTATATCGTAATTTATAATCAAAGATTTTTATTTAAAAACAGATTAAAACATACTAACTGTGTCAATTTTCACGTAAATAAATCCGTTCTCTTAATTTCTGTACAAAGTTTTCAATTCACATAATAATTAAGTTTTTCGGTTTTCCACGTATGCTCGACTGTAATGTTACATATCACATTCCTAGGTAAATATCAAATACCATACAAAAGTAAAGTACAGTCACGTAAGTAAATGAGTACAGTGCTAACCAACGCGAGAAAAGGTGGGGGGATCTGACGAGGAAATTATGCCGAGACGAGGACTCATTTAGCGTAATTGTAGACGACTGTACTTGACGATAGTCCGCTTCGGTGAGTAGAGTACGTATTGTCTTCAATTTCGTAGACTTTAATGTTATTATTGGAAGTTTTAAACAATTCATATTACCGACATTAATAATTTAATATGTCGTATAATTCCACTGACAAAAACCCTCGTTTAAAAATATTTTCAACGCATTCAATTTGTTTAAAACAGATAATACAGATTTTATACGGCAATAGAAACTTGCAAATAGTATTTATTTTGTAACATTGCAATGGCATTGTGGCAATCAATGGGGGAGGCCTACGTTCAGCAGTAACCTACATTGTTAAGTTATAAATAAAATTAACAGGTTTTGAATTCTTTTATTGGAAATAAATACCGACATTTACTAAACCGAATCATGTGCGTATTACGACTTTATTAGACTATGTAAAAATCTGATCATTATTTCATAAAACAGAATACATGCGTTAAGTGAGACAATACCGCGTTTCGTTTAACGATTTTGCGTTTTGGAAGCTTGTTTTAGGTTCCTTCCTCTTTTCCCCCCTTTCGTACAAGGATTAAAGGTAGACCACGCATCTGCCTTTGCAGATGTCAAGTAGCAGCGGTTACTTCGTTTTAAGCGAATACTTGTAAGTTCGTTTCTCACCACAGACTACAAAAAATTGGTTCTAAAACATGAATAAAATATATAGGTTTCTTTACATTAATTATAAGTTCTAATTTAGACGTTTATTCTCTTCATTTCTCGTTCTATTTAGCTACATAAATAAAAGTGGAGAGCGCTAGAATGCCTTTACAATTTCAGCAGCGATTCAATTGCTCGCGTAGTATTACTATAATGAGTCCCCCCGGCTCCGCTTATCTAACACTAATGGCGTCCGCTTTTATTTCACTTATTATACAAGCTCGTAATGAATGAGGCGAGAGTTTAATATTTCATGTACAGCGGTTTATGTTACATTTTTAAATAGTGTCAATTTATTTTGCAAGTAGTGGAATATTTTTATAGAAATATAACCTAGTAGTGATATTTGATATAAGCACGATCAGACTTTTGATGAAGTCTATAATTTTTTTTTTAATTTACATTTCTTTTAAGGTACCAGTGCGTAATTCTAATATAATAGGACAAATATTTTCTAGAATGTTCAACTAAAGTAGCGCCAATAGCCTAATGATTTGGGGTACGGACTACCGATCTTGCCGCCATTCGACTATTGTCGTGAACCATATCCTAGAGCTTATTTGGAATAGTTATAGAAAATATTAGTAAATTAACAGAAATCTACAAGTATTTGTACTGATTATGGGTCGCAAAAGATTCTTTTAACGATCTTTAGAAAAGACTCCTTTTGTTTTATTCCATGGTGTTTTAGTTTATTTTTGTTTGAATATTTCACCAAGAAGCTAATCTATTACAATATTTAAATACGACACAAGCGCATAACAGCTTATCACAAAGATAAAACCTTTATTGAATTAATTCAGATATGATAAAAGATAATTAATCATATTTCTAGTGTTTACTTCCCAGAAAGAGGTACACTTGATGCGCGAACTGACATGTTAATAAAATATTGATAACGAATCTAGCCTTGAGATTCTGAACCACTTAATGAATGCATTTTGTACTGAATCATGATATATAAAAGCATAATTATTCCATGTGACGGTGAAAAAAGTTCTGTACTCTTTGTAAAACGCTTGCAGACAAAACTCCTAGATTTATGTTTTCGGTTTGCATAATTTCCTTAATTCTTATTTACAGGTCGTTACTTTGATCTAATACTATTTAGTAGTTCACTAGATTTTTTTGTTGGAGAGGGGGATCTTAGGATACCCTGCTTCTGGATTGGAACACCGCAGTGTGGTTATTCCCAACCGTCATCCCGCTCTGTCCCCACGTAACAATAAAAAGTTTCATCCTTCCCACCTTTTAGTCCCACTATCACCAATAAGGTGACAGATAGACAATTATAAAATAAAATAAGTTCCAACAGTCCCCTCGTCGCTAAAGGGATGGATGAAACTTCCTATTCTCATCTGTTCCCACGTGGGGACAGAACGGGGTGACTGTTGGCAATAATCCCCTCAGTGGCCATGTTCTAGTGCTGTGGGTGGGACTCTGGCGTCTCACTGAACGATTTAGATTTATGACGAATGCTAGATGCCTATTAATTTATACAAAAAAATAAACAAGAAATTGCTTCTAAAGATGAATATGAAAGTTTAAAACAAGAGGAAAAATGACTAACAAATCGGTCACACGAGGCCTCATCCAAATATCGTTCACCATAATTCAATAAGAGTGGTCGTTCTCGGAATCTATGCCGCGGTAGGTCTGAAACCTAAACAAATATTGACCGGGTCCGAACCGCGCCGTGTAATATGTATTAAACACAATCGTACACACGTTTTTCTGTGTACACATACGGGTGTACAGTGAAAGTCACACCACGGTACCCCGATTAGGAAACTGGCTACCGGTTTTATTCTTCAATATAATTTAGATGTGTAAATCCTATTACAATTGACAATACAAATTGGTCATTATTGCTCATTTTTAAGTTTTAAGTTTTAACTTGTGAAAGTTCTCTCGTAAACAAACCCACAAGGGTTTAGATTTGCATTTTCACAATTTTTGTATATAAAAATATTTTTAAATCAAATAGGAAAAGGTTTTTTAAAACATTTCCATTAAGTAAATCGCATCTCAATATGGAGTAAGCAAAATGTATACAATCTTCTTACATTGTAAAGTCATAACAAATATGCCAAAGTACCAAGATACATTTTCCTTGGGCCGTCACGTACGCGAAAAGGTGAGCCAAGAGATGCAGCATTAAGTACGTAGATAAGCATCTTATCTGACGCATCAAGCACGTATTGTTGTCAGGGGTGGACATGTTCCGGGAACGTTTACATATAATGAGATTCAAACTTAATACAAGCGTGGGTTAGCTATGCTCATGACGAGTGAAAAGCGCACTATGACGTGCACTGACTATGCGTCTCAAAGAGCGCCCATCTTTGCCTCAACTATCGCAGAATTATTGTGCGATTGACGATTGTTTCGCAGCCAATTCCAATATTCAGTTGTGCAACTGAAAATCGAGTAATGTGAGCTTCATATAAGCTTATAGGAATCAAAACCCGACTAAACATTCGTGCGATAATTTAGTCAAAAAAGTGCGCGCGCTCTCATTAGTTACAGTAATATCTTTATTTCTTTTGAAAATGCTTGTAGAGAAGTAGTACTTATTGTCTGTTGTGGAATTTGTTTAGTAGAGGTCTATAAAATGTCCTTAAGCTAAATTTTATTTATAACATGTCGAGTGTTATAAAATTTTATTGCACATTAAAGCAAAAGGAATAAAATTCATTGTATCTTTTTAATAAATAAACTGGCTACATTGAAAAGGGCTTTAGATAGTTATAAAACTACCTGGGCGGGCGGGGTTCGAACCGGACATGGAGTTACATTTGTGTTTGCGGTCACATAAAATTACGTGTTTTTTGCGGTTCGCCAGGAATTATTATTTGTATAGTGAATTACGATAAAAATCGATATCGTGAAATATTTATTAGTTTAGTGGTTATCGTAAATAAAATAGATAACTTAGTTTTTTTGTTCATCACAAGAAAATGTTTTAAATAATTTGTTTTGCACAATATTCAATTGGTTACAAAATTTTAAGGATTTAGATGAAATTTGGCACAGAAGTAAATCATTGTATGGAAGACCACTTATAGTACTTGCTTTGTTTATTTTTGCACAATCTAGTCTTACATAATTATCTCTTCACCTCTAAGTATGATCAAAGCTAAATAATGATGATTGATGTTAAAACGTAAGGGATGTGGTAGGATGTGGTAGGACCGTGCGAAATGCAAATCAGCAATCTCTAGCTACGGTTGTTATCTCACGCTATAAAAGGACTCCGGTATATTTTATCGTCATATTGCAAAACTGGTTACATCATAGAAATTAAAAAAATATATACCTTGCGAAAAATCAAGGCTTACTTGTTTTTAATATTTACAATTTGATTACATTAAACATTCCAACCAAATCACTTATGTGGTTTATTTATTTTTGAATTTATAGATTAAGGTTTTTCCTATTTGAATTGGTTAATAACTATATACTTTTATACAAAAATTAAGTCAAGAGCGATTTTAACATGTTTTTCAATGGTGGAAACTTATGGCTACACTTCCCTTCAGTGGAGTTCCTGAGGGTTATGGCTTCACCCTTCTTGACCACCTATTCAAATGTTTTCATTCATTCTATGTAATACTACTCACTACTTTATACATGTTACTTCTAACGTACAAGAGTCTCTACTGATACGCAATTCTGTATCTATACTTAAAAATGTCAAAAGACTTTATCATGCAGATTACTATAATTTAAAGCAAAAAAAGGAGTAAGTCTTTTTAGAGCTGCAGTGATTGATGACCCGCAGAGCTCCAAACACTTGACAGGTACACCCTGCGAAGCAATTACCATCTTTATCGCCTACAAAAACCACCGTCCGCCCGGCGGAACCTGTTTCACTTGTATACTTATTTCGCTATGAAGGTTCCGTGAGAAAATATTATTATACTGTGAATATTACAAATGAACAAACATATTAAAAAACATACAAGAAATAAGTAAATTTCGCAAGTTATTAAGCCGATCTCACTGACAATCCATACAATAAACCCAACATTTATTTCGGCTATTGAGGCAACATAAGGCACTCAGAATTATGATCAACATACACTTAGTGAAATTTTTCACGTGAGTTAAGCCGTGTTTTATAACTTAGTGGATATATTGGAACCGAATGAATTAAAAAGATAAGAAAAAACTAGATGAAGTAGATACATTTAATTATTGTTGCGAGACCCTAAAACGATTTATAGATAATGGATAAGTCGGTAAAAGCTGGAAGTGGAAGCGATTTAAAATATTAAGTAGCAAAATATTTACGCGATTCCATTTATACTAGTCAATACATTTCCTATTATGCTTTCAACATTTATAATAATAGTAAGATCAGTGACCTGTTATAGTATGAGTAATTCTTCTACACGATATCAAGACAGTTAACGTCCCACAGCGAAGGAGAGTTCACGGTCAACAAAAAGGACAGACAGCAAATTTATTAGATGGATATCTCGAAAAATCCAGTACAGAACCTTTTCATCGTACTCATTTATAAAAATAAGGATAAACAAACTTTACTTAGCATTTATTTTTTTAGACTAATTTAACTTTGACTTCGTAGGTAACTTTGTTTCGACCGCGTTCACACCGTGCGCTTATAACTTGCGCCAGCTCCCATTATAAGTGTAAAAAGCTCGTTAATCTCCTAACGACGACGGTCTAATTGTGAACGCATATCAAGTTCCAATTAGATGCTGGATATAATGACATAAAACAGCGTGCATCGCGACAGGTAGGCCGACTGGTTGCGCGCGAATTGTCAGAGGGAGAGAGACGGATATACAAGGTTATGTCATGTGAGAAAGGAACGAAAGTATTACATTAAATAAACCCCATGCAAGGTAATATATTTCACAAATTTTTTCAGATTAGATTGCGATTAAAGATATATACAAGGAATTTGATAACATACGTTTCTCTGAATATTATTTTAGTCTAAGATAATCATTTATTTTTTGATTATCTACTGATAAATGGTAACAACCATTAACACGTATACAATCAAAAAAGCGTTTACAAATTTATTGTAGTTAGTGGAGCAAACAGAATCTTGTTAAAATTTAAACAAGCGAAAAATATTGAGCAATTACAATTTTCGAACAAAAAATGAACGAAACGGTCTTTAGAAAAGCATAGAATAGGCAAATACTTACTTAAAGTTATGTGACTACGTAAAATAATAAGACGTATCGTCTTGATAGTTTAAAGGGTTTTAACCAATTTATTACTCAGGAATTTATTCTTGTAGTGACGTTGACAAAATATTATTGTTTCTTTTTTTAATATCAAAATCTGTGGCAACCCTAACACATATCTGAAATCCATTTAGCGCAGCATTTGATAGATGGATGAAACTTTCGCGTTTATTTTTAATATTTACGAAAATAGATAATGGCCTCGAATTTATCGAGCCACTATCTCGATAAAAGCTGTTAGCTTTTAAAACGTAGTTTACGGCAACTTGTCTAAACTTTTGATTGAATTATGAATATTACTATAAAATTATTTCATAATTTGTCACAAGTTTTATTCAACACTACATTACCCATGTAAATTCTGAAGACATTTATGAACTTTGAATTGTTAAAAACTATATAGCAAAGCTTTCCCGTTTATTATGTATTTTAAGAGATACTGGCACCATTTTTTTTAAATGTGTAGTGTGTAATCACAAATTCGCACCCTTTCTTCATAAGAAGGAAATTTATACTAATAATACTAAGTAAAAAATAAGGCGACGAGTAGCAAAAAATTAGAAGCCGTTTTCTAAAATCATCAATACATTTTATTCAATCGTGTAAATGAATAAATTAAATATCAAATAACATATTAGTCACAATAAAAAATTAACCACAAAATGTCGCACAAAATACACCGGTCATTAATCGTTTTTATCTCGGATTAACGCATTGAATTAATGAAATTATAACTTCGGCTGCGGCATTAAATGAACGAATATAATGAAGTCACGAATCAATGATTGGAATTACATTTTATTAATATAATTATTAACACGATTCATATGCAATATTAATAAATACTTTTGCACCTATTATACATTAAGGTAGACAGATTTGGATAAAGGATTTATTGACGAATTACCATTTTAGTTTCTTTTTTTATATTATAAGGTGGAAAACGAGCAAGCAGCCACATGAATCCACCGTAATGAAAAGCGACCGCTGCTCATAAACATCTGCAACTGCAGATGAGTTGCCTACCCTTAATTGACGGAGGAGCCGCACGTAAGGAGGATATTTTCTCTTTCTATGCGTCGCCTCCACTGTCAAATCCATTTTTACTTCCCATCCCTTCGTTTTAAGAAAAGGGCGAAAAGGGAAAGGGACTAAAATTAGGCCTCTGGCACACACTCATCAGACGAAACGCGGAATTGCCTTCACTTCATGCCTGTTTTCTGTGTGGTCGTGGCATTAACCGGGTGAGCCGGCTCATTCGTGCGAAGTTGTTAAAGCGGGCTCTACCACTGTTGAAGACTGTCTATTCTTAAGACCAACACTCTTATATGGTTGAAAACCAATTATTGAAGAACTGGCTAAACTGTTATTTTTGTTTCTAAAATAGCAAATTATATTTTACAGTAGAAAATGACTTCAAATCAATTCATTAAAATACTGATTTTATACACTACTCTTTAGTATGTATTAAAACGGAATAAGTAAGATTAAAAATGCAGAACACAAAGTTATGTTACTGGAGCTAATATCTTCAATACCCAGTATCGTACTTTGCACTCACAATCGCATCGCTATACAATACCCAACGTTAACATAATAGAATAAAGTCTATAATCGTGTATAGAGTAGAGATGCTGACTGTATATCGGTTGCATTATATTTTTTTTCCTGGTCCGGCACGGAGCCCGGGTCGTGGTGAACTGATCAGATTAGACTCCGTAACCGGTTCTCAAAAACCTCCCGAGGAAAAAAATAAGAAAAAAACGACACTAATAACAACAAATAACGAGGCGTTCGGCCGTGGCTCGTTAGTGATGTGCGGCTGTCGATAATAGACTGCGATAAAGTGTCGATATCACAACTTTTTTTGTTGTTTTGATAAAAAATGTTTGATTAATTTACAGGAATAAAATGTTAAATGTATTCGTTGCCGTTAATAAAGTATCTGTTATTGAATATCTGTCAAAATACTGAAAACATCAAAAGCATTTTAGTTTTTAAGTCATACTTATGGAACCTACTTTCTTTAACACCAACATATTACTCTAATTGATTTTTAAACGTAACATTTTATTTTAAAGCAAAAATCCTTATTCCTAAATCCTTATTAATTGAAAACTAACTTGCACTGTAATAAGAATTTCGATTATTACCAATCACAATTAAAAAAATATAAATTTATCGATATATGACTAACATCTCTAAACAGAGGTGGAGCCAGATGAAATTATACGAAAATATTGTAACGATAGTGACAGATGATTATAAGCTGGCGATAAAACACACATAATTCTCACATAATGGCCGCGAGCCGAGACCCGGCATTAAGTCCCGGTGATAATTCCCACCTTGTCTTACTTACACTGAAATCAATTTCACATCACTACATTGAACGATTTATGTACACTTAATAGATCGTAGTTCAACTAAACTTAATGCACATATATTCTATCATTAAACAATAAATCATTACGTTTCTTTTTACAAAGTTTTCGGTGCTTACAATGAATTGATTTTCAATACTTTTGTGTGTAAATTCAAACCCCAATAAAATTATAATAAACCTGATAACTGTAGGCAATAATTAAACGCCAGTTAAAACGCGATGGTTCAAATATTAATAGCTTGTAAAACAGTGGTCACTAAGGTAGTGGGTTAAACCACATTCTTTTACCATAAGAAAACTATTCCTTACATTTACTGTATCACAGGACGATCGTTCTTGGATACAGTATCTTCAACCCATCATTTTACACATTTTATCAAATAACTACAAACTCAAATCCAGCGTAACATTAATTAATAAATATTGACATCAACATTGATATAAACACAAAGGCTGGCAACACAGCTGGAACCAGTCAAACGACTTGTCACACCGGATTGATAATTGGGTATTCAAGTATGAACTATTCTCGTCATAACTTAAGTGAGATAAGCGTACTTGAATAGATAATCTTACAAAGTGCTCCAAGCATGAAATACCGTGTCCGGTACGATAGGTACATCTTCTGTCATATCTACTAAAAAATATTAAATTTCAACGTATTAAAACTTACCGAAAACAGGACTTAAATCCGATTTCACCGATAATTTCCCGGAATAAGGTTCGCCAGACTTTTCCTGAAACAAACAAGAAAATATTATTATACATGAAACAATGAAATAAAAAATCAAAGCCTATTTACGATTATAAATCACACACAAATTAAGACGTAGTTGAACTTATCATAGGACTGTCAAAATAAATCGATAGAAAAACTAAAGAAGGGTCGACGGTATTCGATTCATCGAGTACTTTTTACTTCGACAATATCAGCGTCGATAATGGACATAACAAATCGAGATGTTTCCGCTTTCATTAATCCCAATAACCGAATTTCCTCCATTTACGTTACGGAACCAATGGACCGTTTGAAATGACACCACGATATCAGAGGGCTATTCTGTCATACACGTTGTAGAGATGCGCTATTTTTGGTAACATATTTTTTTAAACTCTTTTATGTATTGTATTATCTTCACTATTAATCTTAAAGTTTAATTTATACATTTGTTTTTAATTTTACGAGAGGAAGAGATTACCAAAAGGGAGAATTTTCTATGAATTTAATAAAACATCATTACTCTTTTTAATGCTTGCAAATTTAAGAGTACAAACTAACATAATTCAGATTTACAAAATACATATATAAGCATATTGGAAATAGCATAGATCGTAAGTCTTGAGTACAATCCATTAAGTACACAGCACATGTAATCCATTTCAATCCTTCACAAGACGCTGTATAGATCGAGATGCATACATTCAATACAGCCGATCAGCTTGAGAGCTTATATTATAAGGAGACAGTAGAAATGTTAAGCTAGCGAAAATGCTAAATCGAATATCATAAGGACACAACAGAAATACTTTGTAATCCAGCCGTTGTTTCAACTAATTTTATTGTCAATAGTCTATTAAGGCGAACGCTAATAGTTAAGTAACACTAAATGACTACTTAAATTATCATTAAACCCTTCTTATTGTAATGGTAAGACGTCAAAAGAACTAGGGCTTTTGACTCGAATATGACATAAGTGCTAAACTTCCTTCCAAATCATTTATACTGATATTATAAAGAGGAAAGTTTGTATTTTTGTATGTATTGAAATTACTCAAAAATTACTGGTCATATTTTAAAAAATTCTTTCACCTTTAGGTGGAAATTTATCTGTGAGGCATGGCCATGTTTTCATTATTGAGCAATAGCTGCAAAATATACATAGTTTAGTTATTTTATAAGAAAATCTTCCACTTTCTTATCTTCTAACGTATGTAAGATGTCCAGAATAGCCCCTAATACTAATGCCTTTTAGGGGAGGGTGTATGTAATTGGATAAATCGGAATCAGTTTACCCCACTCGGACACTTACACCAAATCAAGGGTAACGAGTATCCCTGACGTATTAAGTCATTCGACCTTTGTACGTGATTTTTATAGGGTTTAGGTAATCATTTATCAAGCATTGTTTTTTATTACCTACTAGCTGTTCCCGTGCGACTTCTTCGACTTGCTTCCTTGATGTTGGTAGCAACTTATGGTACGTTTCCAACATTAGGGTTTTTATCTAAAATATTTACCCCCTAAGTTTAATCGTGTGAAAATATATAACCTAAAGTGTGACGCATGTGTAGGGCTAAAAAGCCTTATAGAATAATTCTTTCTTTAATAAAAATTAAAGAAAGAGTTATTCAAAAATATTCTGTAATTGCTGACATCTTAGGCAACAAAGAAGTGTGTGTTTACGCTTTATTATAATAGTATAGATATCTAATTCACTGTAAATATCGAAATTAACGGTAAGTATAATGAGAGTTAACATTACATTTTTAAAACCGACAAAAAAAACAAAGGCATTGATTCTCAAACCTTTTGGAATGCAAAAAATAATTTATTGTTGGGCTATTTTTATACAATTCGAATTATACAATAAATCTTGGTTAATCTTTAATTCTTATATCTATACGTGTTTTATCACAGGTATAGATTACGGTTCATAAAATTTCCTGGCCACAAACAGATGACAAAATAACATTAGGTAAAAAAAAAGTTAAAAACCTTCTTACAATTTAAACAGTGGGATAAAATATAGACAGTGTTGATAATGGGCAATCGATTCATCGGTTGAACTTGTAACAGTCGTTAAATATTTTCTCGCATCGAATCGATTAACCAATACCAGCACAACATTCATCGCTCTCACAGATCTATAGATTCTCATTGGGAATAAGATTACGAGCGATATTTAATAATTTAAATATCATATATTGGTATGTAGACAGTTGTAATATGACAAATATTACACATGAGTCTGGTATACTTTCATGATCAGCAGCCTTACGTCAACATAGCTTTATTAGGTCTTCGAGTTACGAACGATGGCCAAATTATAGCCAGTTAACCTATTAAGATTGAATGTGGTTACAAAGGTAGAGGAGGACCGAATGTATAGATGGATTGTGTGAAAGAGGATATGCTTAAGAAGGATGTATGGAAGAATGTATGGAAGAGCAGCACATACTGTGCCGACCCTGCATGGATAAGGGCAAGTTGATGATGATGATGAGTTCAGATAACTTATAACGGTTTGATACCCTTATCTGTATAAAAACACGAGAGTAAGTAATTTGATAAACAGTTAACATATAAATAAATTCAATTAACTGCCTTTTAAAGCTCATTGAGTGTGTTCCTTATACAGTGCTATATTAGTTGGTACAGTTTTTATGTAGCCGCTATACGTTTGAACATAAATACATCCATAAAGGGAAACTCTATAAAAGAAAACAGATGCAAAATACTTGAGTATTGTTAATGAAGGTGACAATACTAACAAATAAGGCTTTGATGACGGAAACAAGGTTGTAACAAATGAGCATGTCATGTCCTCTATAGCTGGTGTAACTAAAATTCCGTAAAATGCAAAATAAAAGGTTTATAGAATTTTAATACCCCTAAAAAACCTTTAATTACATTATTCTCTGAATTGTGACACAGTTATGCAAATTGTGTGGTTTTTAACTAAACGAATGACATTTTTATACAAATAAAGCGAGTTTAGATCTATTCTGAAACAGTAAAATAAGGAAAATGAAAGTTGGTAGGAAAGAAGATGTATAGGTAATAGAAATATCGTTTAATTACCTTCTTCTGTCTATTCAAGTGTACTAGTGCTACGTTTTGAAACAGAGGGTTTATTGCGAACATTTGCATGACACTTACGAGAATGTATTCGTAACGTCTCAACGAAGTATGAGATTTTGTCTTTTAATTACGAATACGTTCTCATCAATATTTGTAATAACTCCTCAGGTGCAACGGTTACTTCATCATTTTAGCACACTCCAGTGGCTAAATGTCAGAACGTTAAGCTAAACAAAACCAAGTAACAGCCCCTATGTAAACTAACCTATAAGATATTTGTGTCCGTAGTTACCTACACGATGGCTTTGATTAAATTCCTGTGCGGGGACAAATTTTTTGATGGCATAGCGTCGATGCGACAAAGAGGATAACTATTTAATCGCCTCGTTTACAAATTAATTTACCGAATAACTTTCGACATTTTGCGAAAAGTTACTAAATGCATGCATTTTCCTTAGACTGTAATTACAATAATACAATGTAATAGATTTATGTAGTGTTTGTTTGACATTAAAATATTTTTATAAGTAAATTCGATATCACTTCTAGCCAGTACTTAAATATACTTTGATAATAAGTAAGTACTTCAAGTATGTTTTAGGATTTTTTTTTCTACAAACTAAATCCATTTATCTTTTAAGTTCGTGATAGATGTGGTTTTCAATAAATATTCTGATATCTTCTAATAATGCTGTGTAGTAAAAAATAAATAAAGATTAAGGTCGACTTCCATTGGAGCTAACATTAAAATAAACATGCGACTAAAATTAATATCACGGTCGCTGCTTTTGTTCTAAACAATAGTTCTTTACGTTAATAACGCTGTGTAATTTTCTTCCATTGTTCGAATTTTTACCCCGAAAGGATTTTTCTATAAAAATTCTAGCTACCGTATTGTTATTACGAATGAGAAATATTTTTATTTCACCTTAAAATTCTCAACTTGGCAATGCTAATTAGTTATTAAAGAAAATTCTTTAAAACTAAAAACACCTTTAATATCAAACAAACTTATAGTTTTTTGTAATCCAATATTTTATTACTTGCTCTACACAGATTCTCTAAATTGACAATGTAAAACATTCCCATAGTAACAAAAACTGGAGACGGGTCGTTGCGATGTTAAATACCAAAATCATTACCTTTTTAATGGCCTAAAGTGTACACTTTGTGCATTATAATTAAATGTATCCATTACAGTAATTACAAAACGTAAATGTTTTCATGACCTTAGGACAAAAACTAATCTAAAACGCTCGCATCAAGATGTAATGTTAATTGAATAAACGTGTAGATTGCGAGATATATTACTGTATCAGATTAAATTAAATACTTCTGATTATTTACAAAAACAACGGAATTATACGTTTAAAAATTTTAATTATTATTACCTACTTGCATTTATTTTACGCTTGGTAAAGTATGCATTTATTTAACACATTAAACAAAATGTGTTTTGCAAATTTTATTACGACGATTAAAATAAAAATCTCTGATTTTTTCCGCACTGTAACAAGATCAGGATGTAATTGTGTGGAGTTTCGCTTCTGTCAACAAACGCCTTTATACAAAAACACATGTACACTTTAAATAATTCCATTCATTTTGTCTTACAAACCTTGTTATGTTATCTCGATTTTTCCTACAAATTACTCCACTATCCCCCTCTGAAGGGATGGAGGCCTACCGAAGTTAGGGGTGATTAGGCCATAGTCAAATAGGCTGGTGTGATGAGGATTGACGTCACACATATCCTTGAAATTCTATGAAATGTGCTTCACTGTAAGAACGTCTGATAAATGTACATATAATACAAATATCACATGAAATTCGTAGTTCAACGAACACATTGGTAGTGCAGGGTTTGAACCTGAGACCTGCAGATTACAAGTCAAGGGCAACCCCTGAACCTCCCATTAATCTAAAATGTTCTAA